AGAGGCTCCTTTTCGGCATCAGTAACGATGGCTTCGAGAGCAAGCTCCCAGTCGATGGTGGTGCTGAGATTTTTGACATAGGCATCGACAAGCACAACGTCAGCGTTGGACCCTCCCTGAGTCCAACCTTTGCACATGGACATGTGGCAGTCCGGCAGCCATCCCTCATGCTTGTACATGTCCAGTAGCGACTGCACCATTTGCGTCTGAGCATGTGGATCGAGAACTGTCAGGAGCGGGTGCTGTGCTCGAAAGCTATCCCAAATGCTGCAAAACAAAATTGATCAGGCCCCAAGATCCGCTAATCAATTGATTCCATCATTGCCATCAGACTTACCAGTAAAATGAATCAAAATATGGCATACCAGTATCCCAGTGCGGGTTTTCGCCGGTATAATTCTGCGGCGATATCATATTACGATACGCGCCGCTCCAGAAACTGGTCAACAGATTCGTATCTGCTCCGCCGGGTTTGACAGAGATTGGGGCCAGCTTCTCTCGCCATACCTTTTTGGTCGCCTTTACAAGACGGTCAAAATCCTTCAAGGGGTCCGGGATCTCCTTCTCCGCATGACCGCATGCCTGCTCGACGCTCTTGAAGCTGAGCCCGACTCGCGCGGTGACGGTGTTATCTGAACCAGGCTTAAATCTGGCAAAGCCACCACTCTCAAGATAAAACAGGTTGAACCCTCGCGTGACGTAAATCTGCTTCGGCTCTGTTCCGGCGCGGTTGTTCACCCAAACACCAGTATCATGTACCTCTGCTCCAAAGTAGTCCACACAGAAATGAAGCTGGTATGATCCTGAGCCGAAACTGGGCAGGAAGGTGCCGTTACCGACCATCCGGCCAGGCTTCTCATCCACGCTGATGCTGGCATTCTGCCGGCTCTGCCACAGATCTGTCAAGTCCAGCAGAATCAACGGGTACTTCTCTTTGGAGTCGGGGAACTTGAACTTGTATAGCGCTGCATGCTCTGACACGGTCATGTTTGCTTGGATGCCCGACTCGAGCTGGATGCCGAAATGACCTGGCTCCGCGACAACCGAACTCATCTTGTAGTGGAGTTTGCGATCGCCAATACGGAACTTGCAGTTGTTCAGTTCATCGTCACGGCATACCTGTGGGAATAGCGGGAAGTTGCCCAGACTTGGGTTTCCGCCCGTACCGCTGTCATGAATGCTCGAAAACCCAGTGACATTACTGCCGTCCATGCCGAACCCGCCTGTGTTTTGGCCGTCGATATCAGCGACGGCCTTTGCCAGGCCATACGGCAGTGTAGCTCCGGGAAACACATTGCCGCCGTTGGTAGTACCTATGAGAGGGTTGACGTAGGACAAGGGATCTGGTTTTTGCGTTGCCAAAGACGCTGCCGGTAAAAGAGCTATCGCCTGCCACAGGCTGGCAGCTGTGCCGCGCATCGTCGCGAGGTATCCAGGAAGGCTGCAGAGTAGAGTTCGCGGTCGGTTGTGTTGCCGCGCAGTTCAGTGCTTATGCACTTATACGCCAGACGGGCGTTGATAGCGAGGCAACAGCACCAAAGAAAAGTATATGAACAAGTCAATTGGATGATTGCCAGCTTGGTAGAGACATCCCCATCTAACTGCTCCGTAGTTGACAAGAGAAAATGCTGTCACGACCCCAATTGATCGGCGAGACCTCATCATAACAAAGATCCCTTGGTCCATCTGCGCGGGGAAGCACCGTCTGGGGTAGCATCAATGACCTAGTGATTACCGTCGCACTCATTTTAGGTCGCCGTCGCCGGTGCAGCCCTGCACTGTCCGTCTCGGTGCCGTCGATGTCGAGCTGGAGCTTCTGCGCTTCAAATGGAAAAGTTTGCGACGACTATGGCCATGCCTTTCCTTGTTTTTATTTGTATTTTTTTTTTTTACGCAAGGTGTTTTCAGCTATTGCAATGGTACCGAGTAGATCAATTGATCTCCAATTCTGGTCTGGTGTGCTGATCGGGCGGGGCGATGTGAGGGTCAGTGGAAACAACGGTGGGGCCAGCTCGACGACTGTGTTGACCCAACATCCAAGGCGACATATTAGTTACAACTTTAGCTATTAAAAATCTAGGAAATTCTGAAGAAGGATGCCGGAGTTGCGAGCGAATTCCGACTTGTTGGAATGTACATATTGTGTCATAAATTAACCGGTTTCTGCGTGGCTACATTGCCGATGCTTACCGCAAATTACCAAGCGGCGCCGTGTGGTGCGACTCGGGTAAATGCCAAAATTTGCACAGCACAGCACAATACGCTGCATAGCACAACGCAGCGCAGCATAACTCAAGTCCAATCCGTATCAAGCCCTTCGCCCCTTGTTGTGGCTGCCTAGGTAATTAGCACAGCCTAAACAATCGCCAAGGATGATATCGAAATCCTAGCTCCCCATCACCAACAGAGAAGAAGGCAGAAATACTCCAATAAAAGGCGTTGCTCCAATGTTTGCTCGCTCGCTCCGTTGATTTAGTTTTCCTTTAGGATTCATTATTCACGCCTCAAGCCCTTCGCTATCTTGCAACTTTCCAATGACCGGCTCCAGTAGCTTGGGCAAATACTCGGCCGCATCTCCTGCAAAGGCAAAGTCGCCTGGCTGGATCTTGTACAGCTCGTCTTCATCCTCTGCTTCTGGGTTGACGGTCACGATGCGAGCTCCGTGCAGTTTTGCTCTCGAGATATACCCAGCTGCAGGATATACCTGAGCAGATGTGCCCACAACTAGCATTAGATCCTGCAATGCAGATGAGTCAGCTTCAAATCAACCATACAGCCAATAAATGGCACCTCGCAGAGCACTCTTGGAACTACAACAAAGCAGGACATACAATTTTGTCTTCAGTAATCCAATCATTGATACGGTTAATCATGGTCCCATCGAGAGACTCGTTGAACCACACTACACCGGGTCGCTGCAATCCAGTCTGGCACTGCGGGCATCTGGGTAAGTCCTCTTCGGAAACGTGCTTGATGCGGTGATACGGATCGAGCAGGGGCAGAGGTTCTCCTATCGGTGGATCCTCCGAAGCTGGCGCGAGCGCCGGACAGAAAGGGTCGTCAAAATTGCCTCGTTGAATCCAGCCGCATCGCTCAGTGGTGCATTTGATGTCAAATAATGAACCGTGCAGAGTGCAGAGTTGATCTGCAGGATGGCCTGCGCGCTGAGATAGATCTATACACCAAACGAATAAGCACGTCGCTACACATTAGATAACTCAAGGTGTTAAATTGCGGTAAAGATTGAACCGCATCATCTCATCGATCAAGGGTAGTTTCAAGCGAGATAGCACGGCACTCACCGTCGACATTTTGAGTCAAACACAAGAAATTGGTATTCTTCCTAGCCAGTGCAGCGAGAGCCCGATGGCTTGCGCTGGGCTTTGCTCGTAGAGCTAGGTGCCTTCGGTAGCCGTAAAAGAGCCAAACAAGACCCGGGTCGGTCATGAACGCGCGCAAGGTGGCCAGTTTGGTGGCATCGTGACTCCTCCAATAGCCTCCGGCGCCTCGGAAGGTGGGCAATCCCGAAGATGCGGACAATCCGGCCCCACAAAGAGCTAAAATGCGGCGACTTGAACGGAGGACCTCATGGAAGGCCTCTATATCGTTGTGAGGAGCCATCAAGTTTGGGAGCGATGACTTGGTCCCCGGCGGACGGTTTGATGTTCAATGGTTGAGAGCGAGATGGTGGTGGCTGGCGACTGGGGTTCGGCGGCCCGTAGCCCCCGAGACTAAGACAGGATCAGGATCAAGATCAGGATCAGGATCAAGAGACGAGCTGCCGCTGCGTGGGGTTGAGGGTGCGTGTGGGTAAGACGTGCTGTCTGTCTAAGCCGGCCAAGCCGTCATCAAACGAGGACGCTTGGGAGAGAAGAATGATGAAGATGAAGAGAAGGCGTCAGTCTGGTCAGCGGACGGCTAGAGAGCAGGCTGTGAGGCGAGCAAACCGAGAGGGCGCTACTCCGTTCAATACCCAACCAACCTTTTGAATACGAAGTGAAAGGGCACAGGTACGGGTCCGTTGGCCCGCGTATGCATCACCCAAGCCAGTTAACTTTACACTGGCGCCCGCGACTGCATAAAACTCAAGTCGTGCATCTTGCCCAGCCGCCTTGCCCTGGTCCGCCCGCCCTCACGGCGAATTCTATTCCCGGCCCACCAACTCAGACAAATATCCGACAAAGCTAGGTCATGAAGTCGGATTTCAGACGAATTTGAGTATCACATGTCTGGTTCGTGTCATCTTGGCTGGCATCTTCATTGTCAAAATGGCATGCCAGACTAGAAGCTTGAAGGGCCTTAAGCCCTTCAAGGAGGCTTTCAACCCCCCCCCCCCCCCTCTCCGCTGTGACGTGCCTTAGCCCGCCCCAAGAGCATCTCTAGGCTCCGTTGCAGGTGTGGGCAATTGTTCAGACAGGCTTAGGAAAACCCCACAAGCCACGCCGCGCGATTATCTTGTCTTCCCCCTGCGTGGCTCGGCATGCAAAAGACGGTTGAACAGCAAGATCTCCGTATTGCTCGAGTTCGCCTCCGTTGGCTCTTCCACTGTGCAGTATTATCCTTCATTGGTTGCCAAATGCTGAATATGGTAGTTACACAACAGTGAATAGGAAACTTTGACACAGGGGATTCTGCTTCCGACAGGGCTGCGATCACTGTCATATTATAACCGGAACTTGTGACATCGTCGAGCCAAGGCCTTCGGATGTAAGGGAATCTACCAACATGTGACTAACAAAGTCTTGATTCATACAGGTGAGCTAAGATTCAGTCATACCAAGTACACATACTTGATACAAGCACCAACACGGCGTTTGGTAGCAGCTACGATATGCGGCACAAAGTTTCTGAATATCTACCTGCCCTACTCCGTAGTATCGGTGGCGTTGACGATACTTTAGGTATTTGCTGCTCAAGACGAAGTCCAGATGTGGAGCAAAGCTTCATAATTTAAAAAACAGCCCCCACGTGACAGTTCCATTGGTAGTACTGCAAGGAAAGCTTCCGTAGCTCAGTTGGTTAGAGCTTCGTACTAATATACGTTAGTAATGCGAAGGTCGCAGGTTCAAGCCCTGCCGGGAGCAGATTCGTTCCACGACGCTTTCCAAGTGCTACTTTTTTTTGGTTGTCTTTCTATTTTTCGTGTTCTGTCGCCGTCCTTATCCTTTTCAGCTAGTTATACTCCGTACGCTGCACCGAAATGGCAGTTTCAAGCTCAGATCGAGCGCTTGGACGTTAAGTACACGGCATCGTCAGCAGATCGTAGTTATGTCCCTTCTGCATGTGTCTCGGACATCAAACTGCGGGGAGATCAAAATGAATTGGAATACTATATATTCCACATATGCATTAATTAATCCATCTATATACAGGTGGCTGGCTTTTGTTCGCCATGCTTTATCTCCAGAAATGATTAATCACGCGGCTGCCGACGGTCGGCAAAATGTCACCCCAAAGCCCCCGCCTTGGGCTTCTGTTTTCCCCAATCGAAAAGCCTAGATGCCTCGCCCCTCACGGAATGCATGCAACACCTCCACCTACGAGCCGAATAAAAGGCTTTAATCAGTTCAAACGACCATTGGATTTTCTTATTTTTTGCCATTCGTCCCAACGCTAGGAACATATTTTGGGGTTGTGCTGTAACAAAGGAGGGAATCTCAATCACAAGGACAGCAGCAGAAACCACCACACCGGCTTGCTCGAGTTTGCACCAGCCCATAAAACATTCCATCGCCTCACATTACACATTGACCCGTCATAACATGTCGATGGACTGGGAAAAGGTCCGCGAGGTAGTCAACTCGCATCTTGACCAACAATCCTCAGAGCTGTACAGAGTCAACCAAGCTCTCCACGGCAATCCGGAGTTGGCCTATAAAGAGTTCTTTGCTCACGACACCATTTCCAGTTTCCTCGAAAAGCAAGGGTTCACTGTGCAACGCAAAACCTACGGTCTCGATACAAGTTTCGAGGCAACTGTTGGATCTGGCGGCCGTCTCGTCATTGTCTGCGCGGAATATGATGCCCTCCCAGACATCGGACACGCCTGCGGCCACAACTTGATTGCTACTTCGTCCATTGCTGCCTTCTTGGGTGCCGCCTATGCGATGAAAACTCTGGGCATCAATGGTCGCCTTCGCATTCTGGGAACGCCAGCTGAGGAAGGTGGCGGCGGCAAAGCCAAGCTCATCAACGCCGGGGCGTTTAGCCCGTCGGCAGACGTTGCCGCGTCTATCATGGCTCATCCTATCACCAAGCACGCTATTGGTGGTATCAGTGGTCTTGCAGCTCTGGATCTTATTGCTAGTCTCAAGTTCCGCGTGGAGTTTAAAGGGAAATCGGCCCACGCAGCTGGGGAGCCTTGGAATGGCACCAACGCTTTGGATGCTGCAGTGGGTGCATACAACAATGTGAGTATGTTGAGGCAGCAGATCAGACCCGAAGAGCGGGTTCATGGTGTATTTGAGGTCGGCGGCACAGTGCCCAATGTGATTCCAGACTATACAAGAATGAACTGGTATGTGAGGGCACCGACGACAGAGCAGGGTGAGAAGTTGCAAAAGCGGGTGCATGCTTGCATTGACGCCGGTGCTAACGCTACGGGTTGCACGTATAACTACATCGTGTAAGTTGGTTCCTTTTGACATGAAGACATTTGCTACGCCTAACCAGGTCGAGTAAACAATATGGAAAGGGGCACGAAATAGCTGACAGGTAGTCATAGTGCAGAACCGTACAAACACGTCGTCAGCAACCCTGGCCTCTGCGAGACCTACGTCCAGGACATGGCCAAGATCGGCGAAGACGTTCTCGTCAAAGCACCTGAACCATTTACAGCTTCAACTGACATGGGCAACGTAAGCCATGAAGTGCCAGGTTTCCACGGCGCCTTTGCCATCCCCACCGAGCCTGATGCCGCTCTGCACAGCACCAAGTTTGCGGCTGCTGCTGGCAAGCCCGAGGCTCACGAGTGCGCTATGAAGAGTGCGAAAGGGATGGCGATGCTAGCTTTGAGAGTGATTGTCGACGACGGGTTGGCCGACAGGGTCAGACAGGACTTTGAGTCGGGCAATGCTGTATAGGGAGTTGGGCAACGCGGCCAAGCGGGCGAACATGTGCTACTTTTTTTTTAAAAAAGAAAAAAAGAAAGTAACCCGTGGGAAGAAGAGGGTTGGAAAAGATCTGGCTTGGATACTTACTAGGTAGGATGCTGCAAGAAGCTTTGTCCCACCATGCTGGCCTTATTGCTCTTTCAGGTTGTCGCAAACGCCAGCCGGCATCCAAGTTCCTTGTACTGTGCTTGGCCATTGCGCCAAGAAAGAGAGTTGTTGGGAAATAAAATGCCCATTTGCTATGCTAGTACTAAACAAGCAATAAACTTGGTCACTTCTGAAGCCGACATGAATGTTTCATTTCTAGAGATTTCGCTACACCATTCCATGCGTTACATCCTCTCTTTGACGATATTCCAGGTTGTTTATTGACGCTTTAGTCGATACACTTCTATAATCACAATCACGAGACATCTGGAATGGATGCTGGAAACGCCAACAACTTGTCTGTTCCATATCCCACCACAGCCGCAGGAGAGTGCCAACCCCAAGGTACCTATGGAGAATTCTCAACATTTTATAGTTATCATCAAGGAACAGTCAAAAATGTCTTATTGCACATTCTGCCATACGAGCATATGTATTCATTGGAGATCTCGAGACTGCACGGGGTGCATTACAGGCTACTCTAAATGAAAAATTCATCGCCCTGCATACTCCGCATACTGGGACAAGTTCCTGACCTTTTGCTTGGTTACTCGTGAGCCTCTCTGCATTTATGGAATACTCGTTTTAGGATATGATATCCTGCAGTGTCATATAAAGGCACCATCTTATAAAAACACTACTGGGGACGTGCTGGATACATTAACGTTGTTGGGTCTTGTAACGAGACAGCTTCTTCCTGCGCGGTCGTGTATTAGCTTCATATTAATGTCAATTCGCTGCTGAAAAATCGATTACCGGCGTTTCTTTGGGATCTACAGCTTCCAGGGCACACAAATTTATTACTACGCCTATTTCCTCAGTCGCACAAATTCGCTCGAGTAGAAATGCGCCCTATCTTGCGGCTGGACGCCACAGGTACCTGCAGATCCAGCATCCGGTGCCTTACATACTGGTCAGGTGACAATTTCAGTCGCACCTATGTAATCTGATTTGAAGCCCCTCGAGCGATCGCGATTGTACTCCGTATTACTACTACTAAACGCTGGTTGGCCTTGAATAATGCCCCAGACGCTCGGGATAACCCTGATAGATCGACAAAGCCAGCAATCGTCAAGGGAGAACATTTTCCGAAAAGCCTTTCCCTATCGCAAGGATGATCTCGAGGTCAAGCCAAGACCCGTTCGTCAACACAATGGATCCAAGCAAGTGAACACTCTAGTTACATTCCAGGGATGAGTTCGGATCAAGTGTCTACTAACTGCTCCTCGCTCATGTCTATAGCCGCCCTCGGCAGGAGTTGGTGATTCCCATGTTGCAGTGCTAACTAGGTGGGTCGATAAACACGAGACAATACTAGGAGTCACAACGGAAGATCTCCCTAGTCGCGTGTACAGCAGAAAATGGAGCAATGCAAACGATAAAGATTTCCTCGGGGGGGAATAGACGCGAGACAAAGCACAATAGTTAACGAGTCCCTGGAAGCCCTGTCGGCTGGTCACTAACGAGGGTTGTCTAGTCGGGCAATAGGGGCTTCATGTACGGAGTACTCCGTACGCAGACTCATGACAACCCAACCCGGAGAGCTGAACTGCACTATTTTCATTGCTAATGCTCATCAGCGATTTCGCAAGGGAAACATTGCGACATCTACCGAGATGGTCATCGCACCCAACGGCCCCGAAAATTGCGCGATATCACGGATATTTGCTATGAACTGCAGTTACTCCCTGGCCGTATGGAGAAGCTTTTCCAGGTTTTGTCATCATCGCACTAGCCACTTTTGGCATATTGATGGTGAGAATGGATGCATTCAAAGGCCGTGTATCTACGAATGATTTCATCATAGTGTCCGCCATGAAAGCTCTGGAGCTTTGCTTTGAAGAATTTCTATGGCGACAGTGGCAACAAGGTTGGACCCTTTGCGCGGGTGCGTAAATATAGAAGCGGGAGGGATGCAATACGGCCGGTCTAGCGTCGCGTAGTCCTGTGCGGCCGATGTGGCTTCACAGCTAGACGCCCGAGAGGCCAACCAGACTACTCGAGTCTTAGCCGTATTTCCATACGATGCACAGCCGCCTACCACTGGACGGTGCCAAACCTTCGCGACGCTTCTGTCGTACGTCCGGCTATTGCCGTCGGTGACTGGTCAAGACGCTCATCCGCTAAACTGCTCCGAAGACTGGGCTGAAAACCCCCGAGAAAGTTTTGTTGGTTGCTGGATTTGGAAGTCGCCGTGGCCGGAGTGCTGGGAGAAGTGAAAAATTATCAAAAAGATGACTGCACCACATGACGGATGGGTGGCCTGTGATCTTGGCACAGCCCCAAGGCGAAACAGTAGTGCCCCACAACCAAGACCAGAATACGAAGCATTGAAATGGGTCTGTCATGATTCACTGTGCTTGTGCTATGAACCATGTTGTTGTTGTGCCGATTTGCCGCGCAAGTAACTACGGCACCATTGTGTTTGTGGTAATAGGAAAGGTAGCCGTGGGAATTTGGCTGCCGCGATGCTTCTGCAATTCATATCCACAGCAGAGAAATGGACTCTTCTAGACGGCACGTAACTAATATTGCATATATTTTCTTGAGGCCGCCGGCTTCAATGAGGATGGAGCCTCGCTATTGTATTTGCGACGGCGGTCTGTCGCCACCGTGAGGAAGTTGAGACACCAACCCAGCTAGAGCGTGCTCCGTACAGGATCACAGTCCAAGAAAGCGAGAGCGGTGCTCCTGTTTCAAGGGTCAGCGACGATACTTACTACAGAAGAGGAACGGGCCAGTATGATAACTAGCGCCTTGGTTGACAGACACTCGTCTCATTGCTGTCTGTGGATGGTTCCAGTAGAATTAGCCAAAACTGAGCA